AAAAAAAAAAAAAAAAACAAAAAGTAAAAGTAAAAAACCTATGTAAATGCAAATAACATGGCCTAAAAGACTCTCTAAATTGATAGTTTAAAACCTCATCAAAAATATACCAGAAATGAGATCTCATTCTAGAACATATGTGGAAATGCATTCCATATGATTAAGACTTATTGCAAAGATATAATAAAGAAAAAACCGTGTTCTAGACACAGGGACAGACAAAGAAACCAATGTTTCCAATTTAAGAAAGTTTTAAAAGAGCAGCTAGTTAAATTCAATAAAAGGAAATAAAAAATAAGGAATAAATAAGGAATAAGGAAATAAAAATGCAACAAGAATTCGATAAAATGAGTAAGCAATGAGGGGAAATCAGTAAAGCTAAAATTTTGTTTTTTTAAAGATAATAAAATCAATAACTCTAGTCAAAGTGTTAAAAAAAAATTACAGAAGGAACAAATAAGTAATATAATAAAAAAATGGAATATTCTGATAACACAGACAAATTCCTTAAAATGTACAAACTGCCACAACCAATCTACACAGGACAATTTGAAAAGCCCAGTATCTAAAAAGAAATTGAATTCAAAACTTCTTGTAAAGAAAATCCTCAAAAATGCCTTCATCTCTAAGCTCTATAGATTAATCAAACAAAAAACTATACCTATCACACACAAACTGTTTCATAAGGTAGAAGAGTCACTTTCCAACATATTTTATAAGGTCAGCAGCACACAGCCAAAAACTAAATAAATATATTGCAAGAAAATAAAAGATATGCTTGTATATCTATATGTCTCATAAATATATGTCCAAAACTCCTTAAGAAAATATTAGCAAATAAAATTGAGCAATACAAAACCAGGTGAAGTTTATCGCAGGAATCCAAGGCTGGTTTACTACAGAGTATCTATTAATGTAATTCACCATATTCACAGGAAAAGAGGAAAACCACTATGATTACTGTCACATTATAAAAATACAGATGTGGCATTTTTAGGAATAAAAATGCAACACCCTTTTCAAGAGAAAAACACTGAACAAACCATAATCAGAATTAGAACCTGATAAAATGCAATGATAAAAAAAAATCGATAGATGTAAGAATAAACACCTTCCCCGTAAGGTCCAGAACAAGGCAAAATTTTCTGATCTTATCACTCCTATTCAATATTGTATAAGAAATGTTACCCAGTGCAATAAGCACAGGCAAATAAATCTAGACCATCTGGATTGTAAAGGTAGAAATAAAGCCATCACAGATAACATTATCTATTTACAGATAACATTATCTACATAAAAAAATCCCAAAGAATCTCTTCAGAAAGCTATTAGAATTTTACCAAGGTTGCAGAATTCAAGGTCTACATATAAAATCATGTTTGTATAGAAATGAACAATTTGAAACTGAAAGTATTATTTGCAATAGCAAATACAAAATATGAAATTTTATGAAATAGAAAATATGAAATAATTCTATGTTTATGTGTAACACAATACATGCAAGATTTATACGCTAAAAACTATAAAATGCAGATAAAAGAAATCAAAGACCTACATAAATAATAGTAAATACCATGTTCTTGGATTGGGAGTTATATTCTTAAGATGGCAAGTCTCCCCAAACTGAACTACGTATTTGTTTTGTTTTGTTTTGTTTTTTAATTATACTTTAAGGTCTGGGATACATATGCAGAACGTGCAGGTTTGTTACACAGATATTCATGTGCCATGGTGGTTTGCTGTACCATCAACCCATCATCTACATTAGGTATTTCTCCTAATGCTATCCCTCTCCTAGTCCCCCACCCCCTGACAGGCCCCAGTGTGTGATGTCCCCCTCCCTGTGTCCATGCGTTCTCATTGTTCAACTCCCACTTATGAGTGAGAACATGCAGTGTTTGGTTTTCTGTTCCTGTGTTAGTTTGCTAAGAATGATGGTTTCCAGCTTCATCCATGTCCCTGCAAAGGACATGAACTCATCCTTTTTATGGCTGCGCAGTATTCCATGGTATATATGTACCACATTTTCTTTACCCAGGTTACCATTGATATGCATTTGTGTTGGTTCCAAGTCTTTGCTATTGTGAATAATGCTGCAGTAAACATAAGTGTGCTTGTGTCTTTATAGTAGAATGACTGATAATCCTTTGGGTATATACCCAGTAATGGGATTGTTGGGTAATCATAATCAAAATCCTACCAGGCCTTTTTAAAGACAATGACAAGCCAACTTTAAAATCTTTTTGTAAATTAAAATAACATGATTATTACATATGAGCATGCCTAATTTACTGCACATCACTTTACTGTGCGTCACAGAAACTGCATTTTTAATTAATTTTTTTTTTTGCAAATTGAAGGTGTGTGGGAACCCTGTGTCAAGCAAGTCTACGGAAGCCATTTTTGCAACACCACGTGCTCAGTTAGCGTCTCTCCATCACATTTTGGTAATTCTCACAATACTTCAAGCTCTTTCATTTATTATATCTGCTAGAATTATCTGTGATCAGTGATCTTTGATGTTACTATTGTAACTGTTTTGGGGCACCACAAAGTGCACCCACAGAAGATGGCAAATTTAATCAATAAATGTGTATGTTCTGGAGTTGCCACCTACCCACTGTTCTCCTGTCTCTCTCCCTCTCCTCAGGCCTCCTTAATCACTAAGACACAGCAATATGGAAAGTAGACCAGTTAATAATCCTACAATAGACTATAAGTATTCATTTGAAATAAAGAGTTGCACATCTCTCATTTCAAATCAAAGGCTAGAAATGATTAAGCTTAGTAACGAAGACATGCTGAAAGCTGATACAGGCAGAAAACCAGACCTCTTGCACCACATAACCAAGTCATGAACACAAAGAAAAAGTTCTTGAAGAGAATTAAAAGTGCTGCTCCAGTGAACACATGAATGAGAAGAAAATGAAACAGTCTTAATGCCGATATGGAGAAAGTTTTAGTGATTTAGATAGAAGGTTAAACTAAACACAACATTCTCTTAAGCCAAAGACTAATTCAGAGCAAGACCCTAATGTTACCCATTGCCTAAATGACTTAGTTGGACTCCCACCCCATTTTTGTTGGCCAATGTAATGCCTATGTGACATGGCTAAATTCCTATTCAGCTTTAACTCCATTTATTTTTAGGAAACAGGATGTCTGTGGTCAGAAGTTCCTTCTTAGGTCTAAACCAGCTAAAGCTGATGAAATCCACAATGGCAGCTCACTGGACCTCTGAAGAACCTCTAGCTTCATTATAATCCAATTTCCATGCTAAGCTGACACTCCCATCAGCACCATGACAGTTGACAATCACCATGGCAATGACCAGAAAAGACCAGGAAAGCATAGAAAAGAGGTGGCTCCTTAATTCCAGGAAAATCTCCATCCCTTTCCAAGAAAAATATATTCCTCTCCTGGCTCTTAATGCCCAAACCCTTCATTAAAGATGCCCCATATCTGTAACTTCCAGATTTCTCAGGAGCTGAGAAGTTAAGCTAAGCTCCCACTTTTCCAATTCCAAGGCTACTGAATAAAGCCTGCACTGCCTGACACTCACTTTCAGTTTGGT